GACGCTACTAGGGGCTCCTGGCCTTACTACTAGGAACAAGAAGCTACCAGGGACTCCTGGCATCGCTACTAGGAGCAAGGACGCTAACAGGGGGTCCTGGCCTTACTACTAGGAACAAGAAGCTACTCCTATACTTGAAGTAAGAACCCCAAGTAGCTCTCGCTATCTGGGGAACAAAGCAAGGAAACTATTTCATCTGCTTGCCACACACAGTTTCCGAACGCTGCAAGCTGGTGAGTGCAGCGACCAGTGCTGAATCGCCTCAAGCCTTGTAGCTTCAACCGCGAGGGAAACTTCCCCACCTCGGTCAAAGTGCCGTGGGAAGGGCAGTGAGCACAGGATTGCAAAATCTCCGATCGGAAACCAAGCAGCACTTGGCTCAAGCATGCAGTCTCAGAACGTGCAAGCATAGCAGAAGCATGGCCGGCTTCCTAGCAGGATGACACCTTCACATGTAGACACTTCGGAACACTGGGCCAAGTGTGGTGACTGTGTCTCTGTGAAAGACAATGGCGCTGACCACAGCTCTATCCTTCTCTGGCGTGACCTGGCATGAAGGATCTAATCTAAAGCTCATGAAGCCAAAGGCGTGATCTCTCAGTTGAATCAAGCGCCGGCTCTGCAAACATCCAGGCATACACGTGGGAGTCACCAATACCAGCTGAGTTCGAATGAGAGGCTCCAGGATATCCGAAGCCTCAGGCAGACAGCATCAGTCGCCCAACTCAAATGCTCGAATAGAATCCATTATGAGCATGAAAACATTTGAGTAATATTTGTCTCGTTTCCAAAGGATCTATATAAATCCCAGATCCTTGCAGATCCTTCCCCAGCCTGGAAGACGGAAATATTCTCCATGCAGTACAACCTACCATGCTCAGTGCTGGGAGTAGTCTGGGCCAAAGGCTCTGTCCATCCAACCCAAACATTGACGATTCTGGAGGATATTGGACTCCAAGAGGATATTTCCTTTGCCATACAAAGAAAATATGGATTCATCACAGTCGGTCGGTGCTTGAAACTACCTCAACCATCTATCTTCAAGCTTCTTCACCGGCCAGTCTAATTGGGTGTGACCTGGCAAAGCTTTCCTCGCAAGGCTACCAGCTCCTTCATCTCTTTCAGCTCCTGTCAGTGGACAAAAAGGAGCGCTCTGAACTGCTCAAACCAACGGTTGAATACCTGAGCGCAATCGGATTAGCATGTTCGGAATCCGCCAGTTGAGCTCTCTGATTCCTCTCTCGAGAGCTTGTTGAGGTCCAGCTCCAAGCCTGGCAAGCTGACGGATGCTCGGCCATTCCTTTTGCGTCAGAAGAATCTCGACCCAAGCTAAACTCAGGCTAAACTCATCTTTGCAGCGGGACAGGGCCACATAACAACATGTAAGTTTAGGGCATCTGCCTGGATGGTCATGAAACATGACATGTGCTGAGACTTACACCAAAGGTGCCCCAAAGGGCAACAATGAAGCGGGTCCTCATGCACGGGATACATTGAGAATCTGCACACATGACTGACATAGCCACACTGAGGTTGAGACTTCAACATATGCCTTGGCTGAACAAACGGCTTTGCATGAGAACTGGCTGTAGCATTTCCCAAGAGAAACGGGACAACTTGACATCTTGTTGTTCTACGGTCTTGCTTCAACACGCCTTGGCAACCATTTTACTCAGGTCCAAATTCATCTCAGTGGCGTCCTGTGAGTTTGATGGCTGGGACCTACAGGCCACATGATCACAGCAGGTCTGTCAAAACATATCAGCATGCGATAAAGCCAGTGTGAATTGCTGCTGCTTTTTTCATATATATATATATATACAGTATATGCCATCATATGTATATATATATACATATCAAAAGCTAAGACAAACACACGCCGCGATGTGAGCGCCCATACACCGCACTGGGGCCTTGACAGTACAGGTTACAGATTTGTTTTGAAGTTCTCTTTTGCACCAACTATGTTGTATGTTCTGTTCTATCAATTCGTTGGGCCTGCAATGTAGCATTGCTTTGATCTATCTTGCTTTGCCCCTCTATCTTCTCCTATTTATCCCTTCTTGATTCTCGAGTCTACCTTTCTTCTCTGCCTTCATTGCAGCGCAACAGCGCAAATTGACAAATACACGTCTGAGAACCAGACCCACATGGAAGTGCCCATCTGGATGCGTGTTCGTGAGAAGGCGTCAGAATTGTCAGAGCACCAGGCCTGTCAAGTATGAGCCACATGAGCCAGACGAACCACACATTCTATGAGAGGCAAAAGTCTCTGCGAAGCACATCGACACGGTTGAATATCCAGCTCAAACACTCTGCGTTGATTCTCCAAATGCAATCTTAATGTTAGCACCGTCCGTTCGCTTCTGCGAAATGCTGCAGTTGCAAACACGGCAAAACATGTTGGCTTTGCTGCCTGCAAACCTTGGCTCTGTTCATATCTGTACTGTACACATCAGGGTGGAGCAAGTTGGTTATCTCATTGACTTGCTTGGGATCAATGACCTGATGTGTTTTCATAGGTAGGCTGTTGACGTTCGATATGTTGGTAATGTGTGACAATCTGACAGACGCGTGCCCACAGCTGCACGAAAAGGGAATGGGGTCGGTGCCCTGGTGTGCCAGTCTGATAAGGACATCAGGGGCTTCCCGGATCTCCCCGGATTGGAGCCTCAGTAGCTACTAGTAGCAAGGACGCTACTAGGGGCTCCTGGCCTTACTACTAGGAGCAAGAAGCTACTAGGAACAAAGGGCATCGCTACTAGGAGCAAGGACGCTATTAGGTGGAGGCCATCGCAAGTAGGTTGGAGGCCATCGCTACTAGTGGCAAGAAGTTAGTAGTAATCTTCCCTCTTTCCCACTCACCTAATCAGCAAAGTAATGCTTGATAAACATCAATGGAATGTCCTGCTTGACCACGCTTGTGGCACATGTTCGCTGCGTCCTTGCCTTTTCCTCTGTCTCTTCCTTTTTCTTTTCCTTGTCCTTGTGCGCGCCTGTTCCATCCTTTGTGCTATGCATGCACGTCTATTGTTTGCGGTGGTGCTTTCCTAGTCCTGTCCTGTCCAACTGCAAAACCCAAAGTTGTGGCATCCAGTGGCATCCCTTGCTCTCCCCTTTTCCTCCTGTATCTTCTTTCCTTCTCCTTCGTTCTTTCCTTTTCCTTTGCTCGTTCAAAAATCCATATGCCTGTGCCTCCAGCTAAGATTTTGTTCCGAGGATTGCTGCTCTTGCATCTTGCTCAATGCTGCTATTCCTCTGTAGTATTGCATTATTCCGCTTTTCACCTCGTTGTACGTCTTCGTTCTTTGTTGGCTCGGACCCCATCTCCCGTCGCAAGAGCCGGTGGGATTTTACAAAAAGCACTGGTGCACGATTGACGCATGGTTTCGCGGATGTCCACGTTGCCTGCTTGCCACACGGAATGTCCCTGGGGTCAAAACACCGTGTCAATAGCATGCTTGTGGCTGGGCCCCTTTGAACTCTGGCGAGTGGGGTGGTATTGACCTGTTCCACGAGTTGCGCGGATTGCTGCACTGAGAAAAGAAGCGTTGCGTTGCAATCAAAATTACACCACCGTAGACTCCAAACAGGTGGGACAACAACGAAGCATTCCCAAGTCCACGTTTTGAGACATCAACAAGAAGGGAGACAAGAAGAGAAACGAAAGGAAACAGAAGGGAGACAAGACGGACACAATGACAAACAAGAATGGAGACAAGAAGGGAGACAAAAGGAAACAGAAGAGAGACAAGCCGGACACAATGACCAACAAGAAGGGAGACAAGAAGGGAAACAAAAGGAAACAGAAGGGAGAGAGGACGGACACAATGACGAAGGAAGACAAAAGGAAGCAGAAGGGAAACAAAACGAACACAATGACCAACACGAAGGGAGACAAGAAGGGAGACAAAAAAAAAGGGAGACAACACGGACACAATGACGAACTAGAAGGGACCACACAAACACAAAGGGAGACAAGAAGAAAGACAAGGCGGACACACTGACCAAAAAGAAGGGAGACAACAAGGGAGACAAGAAGGGAACAGAAGGGAGACAAGATGGACACACTGACCAACAAGAAAGGAGACAAGACCGGACACAAAGGGAGACAGAAAGGAGACAAGGCGGACACAGTGACTGACAAGAAGGGAGACAAGACGCAAAACAAGACGGACACAGTGACCAACAAGAAGGGAGACATCTTACCCAGAACCGAGCACCTATGTTCCCAAGGGAAACAAAAGGAGACGGAAGGGAGACAAGGCGGACACAGTGACCAACAAGAAGGGAAACAAGGGAGACAAGCCGGAGGCGGACACTCCGAGACAGCCTTGAGCCCTAACAGTAACCTGTTTGGGGAGGTGCAGAAAGCACCTGGGAGACAAATGAATAGAAATGCTGGAAAGGCCGGATGCCAGCAGTGCAGGCACCGCACCTGGAAAACAAAAGTAAACACATCACATGGGAGACAAATGAATAGAAATTCTGCATGGCCAGCGGAAAAGGGCGGATACCAGCAGCGCAGGCACCGAACCTGGGAGACAGAAGTGGGAGTTGATCTAAATTCCTTTATCCGGGATCCGTCACTTTCGCCAAAAAGATGTATTTTAGCCAAATGTTCGCCTTCCTGCGTTTTATCTTTCGCCGAAGTACGTTGTATTTATGTGTGCCATGTATGTTGTGTTTTGTTCACGTCAATGGCTTCTTCTTTACTGGCAAACACAAAATAGAAACTTCACTGTTTGTCAGCATGTGTCTTCTACTTAACTGTTGACACCCTGTACGTCTCTTTTGTTTCTCCTGGGTGTCAGCAAGAATCAAAATTGCAAGAATCACTGTAGCAGCCGGTCACTCAAACTTACTCATAATGGGCTGGGGGTCAGATGTGGCAGGGTGAACTTTCGCCAATCTTGAGCTGAACTTTCGCCAAACTTTCGCCTTTTGCGGGGTGGAGTTTTGTGGCAAAGCCACCCCCCCAAAGCAGGAGCAGGAGGAGTAGTAGTAGTAGTGGTAGTGGTAGTGGTAGTGGTAGTGGTAGTCGTAGTCGTAGTCGTAGTAGTAGTAGTAGTAGTAGTAGTAGTAGTAGTGGCAGTGGCAGTGGCAGTGGCAGTGGCAGTGGCAGTGGCAGTGGTAGTGGTAGTGGTGGTAGTAGTAGTAGTAGTCGTAGTGGTAGTCGTAGTAGTAGTAGTAGTAGTAGTAGTGGTAGTGGTAGTAGTGGTAGTAGTGGTGGTAGTAGTAGTAGTAGCAGCCGCAGCAGCCGCAGGTTATCTAACTTCCACAGCTCATCTAACTTCTGAGTCACTGCCACCAGCTGTTCAGGAAGCAAATGAACATTCATACAAAAGTACATATTTAATCTGTCGCCAGATCTTTCGCCAAAAAAATTACTTTCGCCAACTCGAGAAAGAACTTTCGCAAAATGAGATATTGATATGTTCCGGGTCACCGACGCTGCTACAAAGAATGCCAAGAACACAACTAACTACCCTGTTGACTTGCGTTGCTCATGTTCAGGTTCTCTGTTCACATTCAGACTTTGAGAGGCGCCGCACATTGCTTTTGCCCGGCTACATGTAGAGTTCGATGAAACCCAGCAGCAGCAATCCATTTGTTCTGGATGGATGCAGTCAACAGCTTGCTTCCCTGCGCTGGTTCCTTGTTTGCTGCGATGATGATGCGAGGGCAGTGGCAAGTCAGTGTCATCTTGATGTTCAATTGACTTGTCAGTGTCATAGGTCATAGTCCTATCAATATCATCAAGTCATATGATATATGTTAAGTTTAGAATTTGTATGTGCTTCCTTCCTTCATATTGATTGATCTTTTTGCATCCAGGAGTTGGAGGGTCAAGTTGAAACAATCATAATTCCATGAATCCCTCAAGAAAGAATTGAGAACCCCTAACAGTAAACTGTTTGGGGAATAAATATCAAAAAATGAGCGGGCACACGTATGTTCCCAAGGGAAACAAAAGGAGACGGAAGGGAGACAAGGCGGACACAATGACCAACAAAGGGAGACAAGACCGGACACAAAGGGAGACAGAAAGGAGACAAGGCGGACACAGTGACTGACAAGAAGGGAGACAAGACGCAAAACAATACGGACACAGTGACCAACAAGAAGGGAGACATCTTACCCAGAACCGAGCACCTATGTTCCCAAGGGAAACAAAAGGAGACGGAAGGGAGACAAGGCGGACACAGTGACCAACAAGAAGGGAAACAAGGGAGACAAGCCGGACGGAAGGCGGACATGTTGTCCCGCAGCAAGGCGGACATTCTGAGAAAGGCTTGAGCACCCCTAACAGTAACCTGTTTGGGGAGGTACAGAAAGCACCTGGGAGACAAATAAATAGAAATGCTGGAAAGCGGAAAAGGCCGGATGCCAGCAGTGCAGGCACCGCACCTGGAAAACAAAAGTAAACAAAGCACATGGGAGACAAATGAATAGAAATTATGCATGGCCAGCGGAAAAGGGCGGATACCAGCAGTGCAGGCACCGAACCTGGGAGACAGAAGTACAGAAATCATTTTTGAGACAAATGAATAGAAATGCTACATGGCCAGCGGAAAAGGGCGGACACCACCAGTGACAGACCTGGGAGACAAATGAATAGAAATGTTGCATCGCCAGCGGAAAAGGGCGGACACCAGCAGTGACAGACATGGGAGACAAATGAATAGAAATGTTGCATCGCCAGCGGAAAAGGGCGGACACCACCATTGACAGACCTGGGAGACAAATGAACAGAAATGCTATGGCCAGCGGAAAAGGGCGGACACCAGCAGCGACAGACCTGGGAGACAAATGCATAGAAACGCTACATGGCCAACGGAAAAGGGCGGACACAAGCAGTGACAAACCTGGAAGACAAATGAAAACAGCGGAAAGGGCGGACACCAGCAGTGACAGACCTGGGAGACAAATGAGTAGAAATGCTACATGGCCAACAGAAAAGGGCGGACACCACCAGTGACAGACCTGGGAGACGAATGATTTCAAATGCTACATGGCCACCGGAAAACGGCGGACACCACCAGTGACAGACCTGGGAGACAAATGAATTCAACCAGCAGTGACACAAAGGGCGGACACATCTTAAGAAAGAATTCAGAACCCCTAACAGTAAACTGTTCTGTTTGGGGAAAAATGAGTTTCAAGTTTCAAGAGTTCGTTTAAACTTTTAGGGTGCAAATTTGATGGTGAGCGTGGCAGTATTTGTATAAAACGCTATCATGCGTTGGTAGGACTGTCTACGGAGGATTGGGGGGGGTGGAGGATGGGGGCCAGGATGGTTACATTCGGTTTCGGGTTTGATGTTATGGACCCGGGGGGTTGTTCAAGACGGTGGTTTTACAGTTCAACCACTTGTTATGGTATCAAGTTGTTCTACGGTTGTTCAAGACGGTTCCGCGGTTCTACTGTATTAATTTGTTTTGAATTTACATTATTTTCTGCCTACCGTCTTTTCTTCTTGTTCGAACTTCGTTCAATTTGCTCTCGTTGATGCCGATTGGATCTATGATCCTGTGTGAGTGCTGAAAGAAAGATATTGCATTCCAGGGACCTCGAGGTCACCAAAAAACCTACGAAACCTCGTTATTTGTGGGGAACTTTCACATCACCTTGCTTTTGACCCACGAATCATAGGGTTTTGGACACATGTACAAAACACTGCGTTCACTGTGGTAAAATATGAAACTCCTGCAAACCCCTGCAAGTATCACAAGGAATGAAGACGACGGCATCGGGGAGTCGAGCGTCGTTGTTCCGAAAATTTGGGACCGGGAGTGTTATTGCGTTGTCGCGCTCGAGTCTGCCAACCTCAAACTCCCAGGGCGCAAACGGTTTTTCAAAGTTGTTTGTGTCAAACTTCGGCTTGAGAAGCACTCTGAGGTGTCCAGCACTTCTTACCGCAATGGGTATTGCATACCTAATGACCTAATGCACGATCTCGAGGCCTGTTTCTTGATGGAATTTCTGCAGCATTCTGCAGTCTGCAGCTGTTGCTTCTCCTCCTGCTGTGATGCTCACAGTATGTATTTGAGGTCGTGCTAAGTGCTAGCAAAGTGCTTCCTTCTTCTCTTGTAGATGCTATGCCTCATTGCTGTTCTGCTTGTGCCACTGGTGATGCCGTGTCCCCCAGTGTTCGTCATCAAGGCTTATTTACCTCTTTTTGGTCATGCGTGTTTGTTTTTCTTGGCCTCAGCTTGCTCATTGTACACTCACACATGCTGTCTGTCTGTCTCTCTCTCTCTCTCTGTGTAAAAGTGGCAACCAAAGTTCAGAGCAGTAAAGTGAAACAAGAAGTGTTGAGCTTCCCTAAGCATGTAGGAACTGAAACAACAATGCCCGTGAGCTCTCGTCTGCGTCCAATCCTAGTAGCTTCCTTGCTACTGCCATTAACCTACTAGCCAGCTACATGCTGGTTAGCTCTCCTCTTACCGGTCTATCCTCCAAAAAAGGATACGGATTCTCAAAGGCTGGAAAATCTCAAAAACTGCAGAATTCAGCCGCATTCTGCCTGGGGACACCAGGCCAGTAGGGCTGCATCAAAACGACCACCTCCAGACCTGACGAGGCTTCAAGAGCCGTTTCGCAGGCTTTGAGACCGGTTACAGTAGAAGAGATATGTTTGCCTCGTGTGGTTCCAAACTAGAAGAGATCTTTGTCGATCATCCAACTTCTCTTGACATCTCTTGCCTCTTGGCTGCTAATAGACAAATGCACACGCTGCTGCTTGATTCGATTCCAAAGCTAAAGCTTGAAGCACACCTGCAACGCTGTGTCCCACACAGTTGTTTTGGGCCCCAACGCGCAACTCTCGAAGAGTACATGGGGAAAGCTTGAGGTCAGAACCTGCCAAAGGCATACCATGCGTCAAGGTGTAATTGCACAGCTTTTTGCAGGTGTATAAAGGCTTGTTGCTGGTCCTGCATTCATCACCTGTATACATGGATCAGTTCATGGTCTGGATCCTCATAATTTGCTCTTGACACACAAGAAAGTGTCAAGAGCAGTGGCGAGCAGCGGCAGCGGAGAGCAGTGGAGAGCAAAGGAGCAAAATGCAATCAAGGCGGTCAAACAGATTGCACGCCTCGAAAATCCGGTAGAGTCCTAAAACGTATCGATGATAGACCTGGCAGGAAGACGACAATGCCGGTGTGGAAGCTTGCTCGATGCAGTCGCCTCGCCCTGTTGCTGCGGCCTAAGCACTCATGCAAGTGCATAGGGAGTAGCGCATCCATGTATAGTCTCAATGATTAATGACTCACAAGAGCCCCATGTCCCTGCTGTGCAGCCAAGAATGACTGCCAAAATACTGGGCATTCCGACGGCAAAGCTGCAGAAAATGCATCTGTCAAAGCGCGGTTCATGTCCCACCTGATGCGGGCAACGGGCTGCACATGACTGCAAGTGCCCCCTCCCGATGGCTTGGTGCAACGACATCACCACATTGCATGACTTCACCATTTTACAAAAAGGCATTGATTTTTGCAGAGAGAGAGAGAGAGACTCCCCCTTGCCAGAATGCACTCGACTGCTTCGTTCAATCCTTCGAGCAAGTCGCTTAATGTATTCGATGTTGGCAGAGCTTAGGATCTCAGTAGGCTTCAAACCAGCTTGGCTTTGCAAACCAAAACGCAGATTTGATAGTTGCAGAATGTCCGTCTGCACAGCTTGTTTTTTGCTCCGTGGCTGTGGGCCAGTCTAAGATGCTCACTTGACTAACACAATCAATGATGTAGTCCTAACACAATTTTCAGAAAGGCCAAGCACCTTCAACGTGGACAAGTTTGGTGAGCAAACGAAACCAGCCCATCACCCTTCCTGTCCTGCACTTCTCGACGTGTTAGATCTAGAACCAGCTGATTCCTGCATTACCAGTGGTCATGCCAACATTAAAAGAATCAAACATGTTCCAAGCAAGAATCATTGCCTGCCCTCGGATCGCAGTCTTCCAGGATGATGAAGGACCTGTCATGCAAGTCCAGGAAAATGGCATCCCTTGGTTCATCCAGTTCATCCCTTTGGTTCATCAATAATCCTTCTTAGCTCTTCAGACTCCCTTGCCGAGTCCAAATGTTGGAGTGGTTCCACATCGCTCCACCACTTGACCAGCTTGGCTGCCGGCCCATTCGGGATGCGACCTGTACAGTTGGCTGTCCTCACGGTCTGTCCACAATGAAAGGATTGTGCTTTAGAACTGTGCAAAGCACAATGAAGACATCACCACAGCGACATTGCGTGCAGAAAACCTGAAAACAATGGCGCTTAAGCCTTCAACGACTTGCTTCATCGAGGCCTCAACCTCTCAGCGCACTGAAACGCTTCAGTCCTGGTTTACCATCTCAGGCTCAACCCAAATTCCAAGCTTCAGTCCCATGGCATTGACATCCTCGCTGGCTCAAGCAGTCTCCCAGGCAAACAGAACCTGGTGTATGCCTTTTTCTGTGCTTGTATATTGTCTTACCTTTTTTTGTCTTTGCCCGCCCTCCGGGAGTGGTACCCGTGTGAGGGTCACCTCGCTACGGGCTCGGCGCGGGCTCGGCGCGGGCTCGCGGGCTCGATGCGGGCTTGCGGGCTCGGTGCTGGCTCGTGCAGGGATTACTTGCATGCGTGCTCGGTGTGGAGTGTCTAATACCGCTCAATATCAATTGGCGAGTTGCCACCACCACCTATCCACACAAACGTCTTTGACTCTTCGAGTTGCCCTCGCAAGCAAGCCGCTCACCGTATTCCACCTGTCCACATTCATTGGAGAAGTCCTTCCTCCGCCCCGCAAAAAAAGAAGGCTTATGACTGACTACGTTGGTCTTCTTAGGTGCGGAAATATAAACAATAACACCGGCATAGGCCGCAGATAGCCGGTGTATAGGTTCAAAGGACACGCCGCGGCACAGCAAGCAACATCAGACCAGTCCACCAATATGTGCAACATCTATCAGCTGAATGCACCCGCTTTGCCCAACACAGACGTTAAACTGCAAGATCGGCAAGGACCAGCCAAAGCTGCCCAAACGACATGATGACCATTGCTGCACAACACGGTGTCATGCACAATATGACAGCATGTCCTCCCTGGCATGACACGGTGTCATTTCTGGCATGACACGATGTCATCACTGGCAATAACCTGATGCAATCCCTGGCAAGACATGATGTAATTCTGGGCATGACCCAATGTCTTTCTTGGCATGACAGGATGTCATCCTGGCATGACGCAAAACGAAACGCCGATCCAGAGCCAGCACCTGCACCTGCACCAATCTCAGCACCGCAGCAGCACCCGCAAAACCTAAGACGCCCATCCAGAGCCACACCATTGAGAAATTAGATGGAATTAGAACCCCTATAACCTGCAGCTGTCTGGGGGATAAGGGTGTCTTTTTTGCAGGAATCGCGCGGGCCCGCGGGCCCGAAACCTGCGCGGGCCGACCCTCACACTAGGACCATCACGAATTAGAAAAGCTTTTTTTGCTTAGAGACACTTGAAGAATTGGCCAAACTGATGCCTACTCTTGTCTGTGTTGATCAAAAAATTCAACTCGAGTGCAGTACGCTGCCTGTGCTAAGCCCTTCAAGCCTGGCAAGAGTGCAACACGTTCAAAATCGTTTTACGGCCTTCAGCATTTGCACGGACACCAAAACCCTGAACCCCGAAAGCCATCTTGTTGTCCTGCCTCGTGGAAGCTTCCGAGGGTCTTCTACCCAATCACCTAACAGGGCATGATAAGCTGAGTCGCCTCTAGACTCACTCTGAAAGTTAAAGCACCATAACTGAGCTCCTGTCCCAAAGATGTTGTATCCTTGGGCACGTACATTACAAGCGGCTAACAACGACCAACACACCAAAACTCCCATGCAGCTGCCAGCATATAAACATACGTACAAACGTCAAAGAAACCTGTCAGCATGGAAGGCTAAACTCGGGCTGAACCGAAAAATATCAATCTGGGCCAATGACATCATCGCGCTTGCCAAACCAGCCATCGTCCAGAACTAGTAGTTCAACCCCGGCCTCAATTGCAGGTTTGGCCTCAGAGGCGCGGTGCAACAAACGAACGAATTCTTCATGCGAATGATTGCGAGTGACGCCTATTTTGTTCAAATAGAGATGAAGATGAACAAAGGAAGGTAGCGACCCCTTAAAGTGCCCCTTACCTTCTTCTCTCCATCTCCACATTCCTTAAGCTGATCCCAAAAATCGAGAGACTGGCGAATTCCAGGATTTTGTCGTGGTAAACCTGGCAAGACTCCGCATATTCACAGACTTCCGGAACAGTTGTTTTAAGACGCTCGGGAACCTTTCAGCCGGATCTTTCAGCCCGGGTTCACTTCGAGCTATGGCTATGACCTTTACCTGCATCAGGATCCTATTCTCTTGATTTTATGTCCGGCTGGTTCTGGTCCAATTCGAGGACTTGACATGTTTTCCTCACAACTCTGCATATCCCTCCATGAGGCTGTGCCATACGCGCGCCTCGAAGTAGAGCGCCTCCCACGTGTTGATGAGCACTGGGCAAACGAGATCGTGCCAGCGCGGAGCGATCAGCCTGGAGCGCACATGTCCAACAAGAAATATTCAAGGCTGCAAAGCCGCTGCTAAAGCCTCTCCCCAATGAGGTGCTGGAAAGTGCGGGTCATCTTCCCAAGGCCTTGAGATTCGACAGCCGCACTTTAGGAAGTCCGCTCTCGACATCATGCGAGTCCATATCTCTATACTTCAAGAACCCTAAAGTTTACGCTTCTTACTCTATTCCAACATGACATTTGCGGTCTACAGCGGATCGGATTAGCACGTCCATTTTACGTGGCAGGTACAGCACGGTCAGATTTCCACACCCGTTTAAATTTATAATACTTATAAGGCTTTCAGGTGTGGAAATCTGACCGCAACTTAGGTGTCGACATGTTGCACGTAGGATTCTAAGGGGAAAGGGTTTGTGATGTTTAAGAAGTCAAGAAGCGCAACTTTTGGCACCCCAGTGTATACATCGAAATGTCTGACCAATGTCAGGATGCCTGCATCTGAGAACACGCAAACACACTCTGGCGTCTCGAAGCTCTCTTGATTGCCTTGGTCATTGCCAAAATTTCACACCGAACAAGCAAGGAATCAAGAAGTTCGTATACAATAAGCAGGTCAGTCCAGCAAGTCCAACTATTCGAGTCTTGTTTCAACAAGTTCGGACTCTGCTGACTTCCAAGAATCAACTGCAAAGAAATGTGTGGATCACTGTTCATCCGCTTGGAGTTCTTCGCTTGGGGTAGCTGAGGACCCAACCCAAGGCCCAGCTGAAATGGGTGTTGCTGAGTCCTCAATGACTCAATGAAACCAAACCAAAAACAAAACCTAGTTGAGGTAATCTGCCTGGCTTGCATCAGCACCACTTAGACTCTTAAGCATCGTTGACATAATATTCTGTTATGATGTTGGCAAGTCGTCTTTTTGACGAAGAACGGTTAGGCAGTGGCCAACATTGACCCGCACACATCCGGTTTGGCTCTGCTCGACCTGATGGCGTCAAACAACGAAGACCTTCTGTAAGCTTCTGTTAGCGTCTTGTGACATCGCGAGAAGACTTGTGCATGTCATTTGCAAAATGGCAGACAGTGTAAGAATCAGAGTGCAGAACACATGGCTTTCTTGGAAGTGCCTCCATGAGCCAGTTGCCCGAGTAAAGCAAACAAAAACCAAAGCACTGCCTGAGAGGCGAGCACACTGTCGAACATCCAGGATTCAATTTCTGCGGGTCGCAATAGCTTAGCAGAACTTCTGCGTGCTTTGCTGCAAAGGCTGAAAGCGGAATATCTCGACATCATGAGAGGGTCTGTGGTCCAAAAAGAAGATGAAGAAGCATGGAAGAACACAAGGGACGTTAAATGTTGAAATATCAAAGAACATTAAAACACAAGTCTCCGGCCCGTGGTCTTCGGCTGGAGGACCTGATGACAGCACCTTACAAGTCAAGCTCAGACTGTCGGTGTCTAAGTCGTATCCCAATCAAGGGAGCTTTCAAAGCCCATCTAGAAACACAGGAGGAACTTCCAAACAATAGAACCCACCTGCTTTTGTCTTTGCTTTTACTTCATGATGCTAGGTTTCCAGGGTCTGAGGCTGATACGCAAAAAGGATTCATCTGGTGTGATGAGACTCCACGATTGCTGCCCAAATGGATCATGCCCTCTTGTATCCTGACAACTCAGGCAATCAAATACAGGACATGACATGACAATTTCCTGCAAAAAGGATACAAAAAATGCTGCAACATTGTAGGTAAAGGTTTCAACCAGCCCACCAGAATCTTATTACTGTAGTTGAGAAATGCAGCAGCGAACCAAAGGCTTCAAGTCCATCGTAGAACAGCGTTGCCTCCGAGTGTTGATGTGCCGTTCATTTGCCCAGCCGCCATGCAAGGAGAGCAAGTGCCAATCATCTGTGCTGAAATCAAAAGTGGCCGACCTGGTCAAATGGATCGGAAGGTCCCAAGATGCCCGAACCTTTGACATTTGCGCACTTTATTGAGCAAGCCCAAACCTTGAGGTATTTTGGCATCATCTCCACGAAACTAGGAGCCCAGCATGCACTTCATCAGATCAACACCGCCCAATCCAACTTTGGAACTGTTCTTCACCACCTTGGTTTCAGTGTTTGACCTCCTCCTCCTCCTCCTCCTCCTCTTCTTCGTCTTCTTCTTCCTCCTCCTCCTCGTCTTCTTCGTCTTCTTCTTCTTCCTCCTCCTCCTCGTCTTCTTCTTCGTCTTCTTCTTATTATTATTCTTCCTCTTCGAGTTTGCAAATTGTGACGTTCCGTTCGAGCTTCGTGCATGACTCATGGTTCGATGATCTGGCGTGAACTGTCCTGTCTGAATAAACTCTCTCTCCAACTAGCAGGAAGAAAAGGTTCTGCATATCCTGGGGTCGGAGGCTGTTCTCAAAGCTTGTTGCCTCTACATTACATCACAGCGCTTGATTTCTGGTACATTCTGAGCTGAAACCTTCTGAGTTTTGCCACCATCCGCCGGCTCACAGCTGAAATTGATGGAAAAACCGTGTAGACCAGCTGGACCTCAACACTGTGGAAACTTGCCATCTGGAGTCAGAATCTACTGCCTTCATAGAAGCAAAGTGGAATCCAGCCTGCACTTCAGTGTATGTGTCCACCATGTCCTGGGTCAAGAAGTTGCGAGATCTAAAACCAACTCCAACTCCAACTCCACACCTTACCGAACGAACAGCTGAGGCACCGGGCGACCACCAAGCTTTGTGCTCCCTGCAGTTCAAAAGAACGTCTCAATGCGTCTCAATTTAGAGGTTTAGTTCGTCTCGTTTGGGACGAATTCCACAATGAAAAAAGAAAAACAGTGAGCACAATGTGCTTTTTATTCAGGGGAACAACGGACCAAGGCCTGAGAGTTGTGTCTGCCCAAGAATGGCAGTCCAGAAGTCGAGGGCAAAATGCCATCGATGACCCTGGCGTCCAAACAGTTCATGTCTCCATCTCTGCACATTCAGGTCCAACAAAAGGAAGGCAACAAAAGGTTTTCAGGGGTCCTTGGGCATGTCTGCAAAACATGCTTGTTAGAATGCAGCAGGACACTCAGTACAACAGACTGGAAATGCGTGATGGCTGGGTGAGCTCTGCAAAGGGCATTCGTGAGTGCTCTGGCGACTCCAGGCCTGTGGTGTTTGTACCTTGGTTGTTGGAGTCCAAGCATTCCTGCATCCACCTGTTTTCTAGATTCGTTGATGTTTTAGACTGGATGATTGAATAGTTTCAGGACGCCCTGCAAGCGTCCCAAATTGCTGAGATGTGCTCAGGTTCAAAACACACCGTCATTCAGTCAAGACCTATTTTAAGAATGTGAGGTGCATGTCATGAGGGCAAATGTTTTGTTGCGCAAATTTCATCGACCTGCAAAAGACCTCTTTAGAGGTCAGCACCGGTTAGAGGACACCTCTCAAACATTAAGAGCACGGCACTAGGGGTAGAAGGCGAGATCCGTCCTGCCAACGAGGGATCCACTTCACTGCCCCACCCTCAAATGCCAGACCACTCAGAAATGCTTTGACGCTCAGACTCCTTGCGGAAGCAAACGTCCATGCTAGGTGTGCCTCAATCGCGGTCCCAAATTGCTCTCATCATCTCTTATCTACAATTCCAGAAAGGAGCAGTAAGATTGGCTGCGAATGGAAGGACAAGGTGTCCCCATGCATTCAAGAGTCTTAAGATCTCAAAACCCCAGGGTTGCGTCAACGGGAACCTGTACAATGAACTTTCTGATACTTCAAAGATCCTGGCGGAAGTCGCCAGTGCCAAACTCTGAGACCTGCAAGCGTGTGAATTGCTGCAAAACCATAACCTACATAAAACTCATCCCTTGTTAATGCTTGTGTAAATAATAGTGGGAATTATGGTGACTCAAATCAAAAAAGCCTGCTTGGGTGACATCATGATCCAGCTCGTCAGACAGCACACGGGCACTTTTCAGCTCATCAGCAGCGTCAAACGCCACACGCACATCAAACAAGAGGAGGACCTGCAATGATAAAGGGCAATAGTATATCGAAGGGCTTCAAACGTTTCACGCTCCAAGGAATCCACAAAAACGAACAAGAAAAGAGATATAGACGAAATGAGGAGATAGCGAAAACAGATTGCAGTGCAGGCAATGCTTGTTCAGCATCACCACAAGAAGCCACCTTGCGTGCTGAAGCCATATCACTGAGCCTCAGGAAATTGCTACTCGACCACAGCATCACCAGCTTCTTCTATGACTTATGAAAGGAAGTGGAAATCTGTTGGAACAACAAGAAAAGACCATCAAGCACACAAACAAGCGATTGTTTCCGCAAAACACAAGGCCTACTTACTACGCGTGGAAGTCATTCTCTCCTATTACATTACTAATACTTTATTAGTAATACTTACTTCATCTTATTTCTACACCCTGTTTCGATGGTCTTTAGTGAGAAGAGCCCTTTTGCTAGCGGTGACACGTGAGACGATGTGAGACGTCTTCCCAGCTTCCGACGAACTCGACAACTGGTCCGGTGCTGGCTGAATTCCAGGCAATGGTTCGTGAGACTCAATCAATCGGTGGTTAAGCCTCTGCGAATTGAAACAATGTTCCATGAGTCCAAGCCAATTTGTGAAAAGGGCAGGGACTAAGGTATATATCCGTCCAACTGCTACTTTGGTTCGCAGAAGCAACTGCACACTTTGAATTTGGACAAAGAACAATGACACGGTTGAATCTACTTGGCCAAGTCCAACCTGAAGGCAGAGCGTGCACTTAAATACTGAAATAGATCACGTTCCCATACGTTCCCTGTTTATAAGGAAGTTGGCCAAGCCCCGTTCGCATCAGCAATTGGACAACAACTTCACCTGAGGCGGACATGTGCAATTTCTCAGCGACAAGACTCGAGTACACCGCAATTACACCCGAGCCTCAAATTTGGGAGGCCAAGAAAAGAAACTGTCAGATTGATCTTGGAGCATACCCTGGGAAACTGGAACAAACACTAGAAAGATCCATCTAGCACCGCAAGAAGTCTAAACACATTCAAGCCGCACTATGAACAAACTGGCAAGGTTGTCCAGGTCATTCAGGCTTACTGATCTTCCTGAGATCTCGATCGCTCTCATCCAACCCAAGAACGACTGCTTCAAAGTTCCAGATTGCAAAAAGCGTGCATTTAGAATCTCGATAAGATTTTGATGTTACTTCTCGCTGCCAGTTCTAGACTCTAGCCTCATCAGCAAAAGCTTCTGTACAAACAATTTAATGTCAACTGAAGCCCTAAACTTCGCTGCAAACCAAAGGTCAATGATCTTTCGCACGAACTCCCCGTACTCACACTCACCACCTGTCGCAAACATATGGATGAGATCAAGCTAACAATCAAACCTGCAGCATCAAGTGATAACTTTCCAACAGGTGAACATTCTGTGTATACAACAGCGGAATAATGCCAGTGAATCATTGGATTGAGGGACAAAAAAGGCCTCCCGACTAGTTGCTCAGTGCAGTCACGCCACTACCATCATCGTCAGCTGCTTGGATCATCTCTTCCGCCCTGAAAGCCCACAACGTTAAGAGAGAAAGATTCCTTTGGGATGAAAGGGCTGTTCCAGTCGGTCAATGGGACAACTTGTAGTGGGCCAATCGTGGATGTTGCTCCACCAGGACACACATTTGTCAGCCTGCTTTCAGCTTGGTATTGTGAAAGGAACACAATGAAGAGCCCTGAGGTCTCTGTCTCTGTCCTCATGCTTAAGGGCAACAAAAAAGAACAAGTGTCCAGTCTCCTTTCGATCCCTTTTCCGAACAACAATTCTGTAGGCAGAACTGCTCTGCCGTGAGCACAAATCTGGACTGAGGAACTGGAGCGGATTCACATTGAAGCCAAGCTTGCAGAGAACATCTTGGAGTTCAATGGCATCGATGGTGCCACTCTTGTCCTTGACCACAGCCGTGCGGCAGCTCTCTTGATTGGACTTACCCTCTTCTTTTGTGTTAGAATCAAGCAACAAGGGGCTGTCCTTGTCAAAGATCTTGAAGGCATTAACCAATTCATCCTCTGTAATCATGGAGCGATCAAACCTGCCGAGTCAACGAGCACTCAAGCAAAGCATGACATGCAGACTAGGAAGCTTTCGATCGCAAACAATTCCGATACCCCCCTTCTACTAGTAATAGTAGATATCCCGGACAAGTGCACATCGAGTATCATAATCCTACCCTTCCCATCTTGCAAATTTTGTCAAGGTGTCGGTGTCAAGGTGATTCATCATGCTGCAGAGCTACTGGGCAGTCACCCTGCCAGATTAGTGGGAGGCCTATGATAGTTTTTGATGGGAAAGACCAGAAACACCATCATCTGGGACGTGGCAGTTGGCATTGCTGAAAGTAAAAGCTTTGAGTCAAGGAACTTCGCCATCAGCTTCACGAAGCCTTGGCTCTTTCTCATCAAGATACACGTATGACGCATAAATCAAAGTCGATAAAGTTGCGCCAAGTTTCGCTGAAAGTCCATGACGCCCTTGCCATGACTGTCGATGTCATTCATGATCTGAGCGAGGGCTTGTCAAGACTGAAGACTGCTCCAGGGTTTTCTCGCAAGCGACTAGCGACCCTGGCGACCCTTTATTTGCAGTCCAGTGTCCGTCAAGAACCTTGCAGGAAAAAAGCATCAAAACTACAAGTACAAAAAACACATGCCTTTCCCTTCAATCTTATGAGTTGCTGGACTCAAGCAATGTAGTTTCCAAAGTTGCAACCCTTCTGAGCGGTGCTTCTTGTGACATGTACAAAACAAACTTGGAGTCAGAAGTCAGATTAAGTAAATTGTTACCGAGCCACGCTTTGTCTGATGGCTCCTCACCCAACCAGCTGAGTGCTAATCTGACTTGGCTGGCATCAATCACACCATCCTCAGCTCAAAGTATAAAACCCAACTTGCTCAAACATTGGCGATGTCAATGTCTGAAAATGAATCGATGCTGAATCGATGCTGAAAATCTAGAGACAAATCACCTCCAGCCAAAACTGTTTGGGTGCACGTCTCTGCTCTCATCAATGCACTCCGATGAGCTTCAGTTTCCGGTGTTGACGTTTTTGCAAGAATGCGTTTTGATTGAGGACGCTCTTTATATGTCTGATGAATGAATTAGAATCGACTCCAGTTCTCTGGTTTTTCCACCAAGTGTCACCGAGCACATCATAGAGGCGAAATGCCCAGCAAAAGTCGACTAGCTCTGAGTCTCGGAAGCCACACCTTCCAAAAAATCTCAGAGACGAAGTCGAAGAATCTGCGATTGTGAACTCTCTCGAGTCAAAAGATTGAAACATTGAAAACTTTTGAAAACTCCTCAGGACTGACCAAGAAGCTTTGAATTTCACATGCTTTCTGGTGACGCGTCGTGCACTTGAAGCAAATCGACAGGCAAACAGAACTTTCAGCTAAAGGTTTGATGTCAAAAGTTCCTTGCCAAGGAGCTTGTCAGTGAGGATGTATGTTTCAGGAATGCCATCAATGCGGATCCGGGGATCACCTAGGGCGAAGTGATCAAGGACGCTACTAGTAACAAAGGGCATCACTACTAGGAGCAAGGACACTACTAGTAGCTCCTGGCCTTACTACTAGTAACAAGAAGCTACTAGGAACAAGGGCATCGCTACTAGTAACGAGGGCATTACTACTAGTAGCATTCTTGCTACTAGTAACAAGAAGCGCACATCAGATCCTCTCAACTCCCTGTAAGTTGCTCCCTGTCAGTTCAGCGTTGGATGCCAAGCTCCCGGCCGCCGGACATGACCAACACAGGGTGTTGGGGTGTGCTTGTGCCCAAAATGGCTTCGTTGCAAGTATGTGTAAAAGGGGAAGTGGCCAAAACCCAAGTTCATCCCCACTTAGCCAAAATGAAGCCCACAGGCCTACGGGTGGAAGGTCTAGGTGTTTCTGCAAGTCCAAATCGTTTCTCTGTGAATACTATCTATAAGAAGATCAGATTAGATCTGTTTTTGCTCCTGAACCCTTACGACTTTGAGTTTGGGGCTATTACACATTCCGATATTATTGCCTCAGATTGCTGAACATATTAATGCATCATACCCCAAGAAAGAATGTTGCGAACATGAATATTCCATCGTTTGGGGCAAATCTGGATGGTTGAGAGTGAGAGCCAACTGAGTAGGCTTTGTTGGAAAACATACTGTAAAGAAAACTATAGTAGTTCTCAGAACCAAAAGAACCAAAAGCGCCCCTTTGCATTAAACCACCTGACTGTGCTGAGACTACAAGCTCTCACAAGTTCTTCTCCCCATCTGCATGAGCAAGGAACCCACTGAGATGGCCAGAAAACCAGGACATATCTCCACGTGCAAGGTACATACTTCTAAGACAAAACCGAGAAACACAATAGCAGCCCATAGCTCAAGTTACTGCTCCATAGGTTGCTCACACGAGAATTCTTTCATCAGCTGCATGATCTCCAATTGCACTGGGACTCCTTACTTGATCTTTCAAGTGTATCACAACCTATGCAACCCAACACAAAGGCTGGTTCCCTCTGCTTGGAACGTCTTTCCGCTATGATGAACTGTCTCTGAGCAAACAGGACGGGCAAAATCACTTTCTAAACATGGCTGCTTTCCTGAAAGGAGCACTACATAGACATACATTGCACCTGCAATTCTGGAAGCATGCCTTGGTACAGTTCAATCATATCGCGGCGTGGCTTCTTCAGTCACCGCTGAGCTGCAAGTTAGCCTTAGGGTCTTCTTATATCTGTCACAAATCCATCGGCACATCCTTACTTCTCCAGCCTCCAAAAGTTGTGAGCCTTTCAATCCTTGTCGACCTCCAACAGATTGCAGTCCTGAGAAAGGGCTCAAGGCACTGCGCAAAGTCATGTCGTCAAAAGAAATTACAGTAGAAACGATGACAAATATTCAGTAGATGCTGCAGTTGCTTCCGGGACTTCAAGCACTACTCCGGCAATTCTGTGCGCGACACCTTCAGGTGCTCGCATTTCCTCAGGCGCCTTCTTCAACGGCACGGAGGACCTTGTCAAAACAAAAAGTATATCCAACAGAGAATATCTTTGCAGGCCAGGAGCGGTTCAGAACAAAAGAACTATATTTATATGAATATGAAACAGCTTTCACCTTGCATTCTTTGCAAGCTTTAATCACCTTCCAATGGAAATGAGTAGTTCCTTTTCTGGGAGGGTTCCTGATTCCTCACCTTCGAAATATAGTTCCTTTTTTCATTGGAACTATGTTTGACCTTTTTTGTGCGAGTGTTCATCACCTTCATATAGTTATTTTGCGTTTGAAACCTTGCACTTTAAATTCTGTGAGTGTTCGTCACCTTGCAAGATATAGACTATTTTTTGGAACTATGGATTTTCTGCAAGTGTTCATGACTGTCACCAAATTTAGTTCCTTTTCATTTGAAACTATACTTTTCACCTTGCATGTTTGACGTTTGGAAACATACGGCTTTAGTTGCATTGTTTGCGGATGTTCTTAGAATCGTTTTTGTACTATATGTACTTTTTCCGCTGAATTTTGTGGAGGCTTCTGACACAGGCAACCTGTAAGGTTCCACTGTTGCGCTGAGTCTTCTATGCTTGTTATGACTTTGTCATGGCTTCCTCTGAGTGTGTTGGAGATTGCATTGAGCTGATCCGAGTGGGAGCTCATGAAATCTCATGGATGAGGAATCACCTGCTTGCATAAAACTTAGCACAAATACCCTCAGAATATAAGTCTTTTTCTGCTGAGGTTCTCACACAAAACCATACACGTATGAAATTTAGCAAATGAGTTTGCCTGATTGGACTGCATATCTGAAGGTCAAGAGAAGTTCCAATGTCGCGCACCTGAGGAAATGTGACATTTTGTTTACTTCCAAAAACATGAATCCCATAAACGAGCAGCTTCTCGAGGAATTGAAGCAACCTTTGTGCTGCACCTATGTTCTTCGCCTCCTGTCCGGATGAGTCTTCGGAAAGGGCCATCAGAGAGATTGCATACGACTAGCCACTGGCTCAACATGTTCAGAACAAAAGAACCGTCAATTGCCAAACTGTCCTTCACTTGTCCTCTATATATACATTGTGATCGTCTTAGGGCTCCGAAAAGGTCTGATGGGCGAGGCCTAAAGCAACTCATCACTACTGTAAAGAAAACTCCTACGTAGTGAATCTTGGAATGTTGAGAAAACAAGAAAAACTCAAGATCCCCGATGAAGGAACAGCCGAACCAAAAACCGCAATGTCAACCCAACAATGTATACATATATACATGTATATATATATATGTACATATGGCTCAAGCCATTTCAGCATCAAGTTTGGTGGCTGACGCCATCAAACAGAGCATGAGGGAACGGTCACCACGATCCGCACAGGCTTGATCGTGACAGAGGACACAATCCATGAGTGGCCAATATCTATGCTGTGGGCATTGTGGAGGGATCAGTTGGATTGTGGAGAGAGGTGGCAACCAGAAGTCGTACGGGACTTGAAGCATAGATCACCACTGGAGTGGGCCCCATGGAAGTATGATGGCAAGGGTGCTCAATGGCCTAAGAGGTTTTACAAGCAGGTGCTTTTTGAACATCCACCAGGCCTTGCAGGTGGAGCTCAAGGTTCGAAGAAGAAGAAGAAAAACAAAAACAAGCAGACTCCAGCCTGGCATCAGGCCTTGAAGGACCACTGGAAGGATCTGCCAGCGGCTCTACAGCAGCAGGCTCAAGCATTGGGACTGGCTCCAGAGGAGCCACCAGCCCCGGATCTTCCAGCCATCCTGCAGGAGCATTTGCAAAGCCTGCCGCCAGAGGTTCAGCAGGCAGAGCTCGGTTGGTTTGCCGAAGCAGCTTTCTGCCAAGAAGAGCTCCCTGCAGGCCAAAGTAGATGTTGTGAAACAACAGTATGGTTAGGCGTGTCCAAACTCACCTCTGAACACGTTCCACCACTACAAGGGCGGCACTTGTGGATAGCGCCCTTGGAACATACCCAGGATCATGGAAAACAACATAGTCAAAAGACAAAACTTGGATGAACACATACATGAGAGGTGCAAACACAAAACATGTTAAACAAAAACCTTTATATGATATAAAAAAAACAAGAAATGCTATCATTTTTGAGGGAAGAAACAACATCATCTTGTATGAACAAAACATATGTTGTGAGTGCTTTGCCATGTTTGATGTCAACCAAAAAATGATGTCACACAACAACTTTGAAGTAGCAAAAACATAGTCAAATGGTTCATTCCTTGTGGTTTTCTGAGCCTTGTTTTGGATGATCCTTTCCTTATCGAAAAACCATATGAGTAAACATAAGAAACTCACTAAGAAACGTTCACACCGTAAGCAAGAAGTGTACATCATGTCAAGCAGAAAGCATTGGACGAATCAGTGTCAGCTCAGCTCATTGAAATGCAGAGTTCTTTGAAATATTAAACATGTGTCATTAAAGAAATCGACTGATCACCACGATTTGCATCAGTTTTTTTCTTCTTGCATTGGGAGAGCAACCGCTCTTCACTCCAGGTTTGTGTTGAGATGCACTCAATCCAGCAATCGCCGCGTCTTCTGGCAGAGCGATGATGGCTCACATACGCAGTATACATGCTTTTGGTAGGGCATTGTAAGGCAATAATCTACAACCCAAGAAAATCACTTTGCACTAGATGGACTATGGCTATGATGGCAGGGGTTGATGCATAGAACATTTGCCCAAGAAATACCGCTGCCCTCTGTTGGTATCTGACAAGCACACAATCTTAGGATTGAGCATAGATTGTAGGAACACGTTCATGTTTGGTTCCATGATTGGTACCAAGAATTTGATTAAAACATGATGTTTTGCACATGTGTCACATGCTGACACCGATGAACGAAAGAGTGGCTCCACCTGACTCTACCCTAAAACATATGCACACAATTATGTGCTTACTTCACCAGCCTTCATCGCTTCCTGCAATATGGGAGATTTGTCCCACATCCTGAAGCTTACGTCTCGAGCACGCCTGTGCAAGACTGCTGCTGGCTGCGCAGGGGATGATCTTGTACTATCAGATTCAGAGTCTCTTGACTAAGCGAAAGTATGGAGCAACCAATAAGGTCCATGTGTTCTTGTCTAATCTGTTTAGAATCCAGTGTCCAGTGTCCAGCTATATTGATAAAGATGTCATGCACCTATTTCCCTGATCAGCCAGACAATGCCGCAATGCCAGACAATCAAACAAACTGTTCTTCCACAGAAGGCTGTGGTTCCATGACCAATGACTGGATGACCAACCTTTAGTCTTAGCAGGTATATCTACGGCCCAGAAAGCATTGAACCATTGAATGATTACTTAAACTATCTGCTGTAGCCATCTCTCTAGTCTCTCTAGCGACACAGCAATAAAAACATACTGGGCTGGTGATTTGTCAGTGGCTTGTTATTATTGCCAACACCACGTGCATCAGATACTCACTCACAGGACGTCAGCGCATCGTCTCACATCCATTCACATCCAGTCCTGGAGTCATCGGGAAAATTAAGACATGCACGGATGAAACCAGGTTGTTGTTCCGGTTGCTTTCGAGCTGAGGAAACTTCAAAGGTCATTGGTTATTTTTCTTTCTAATCTACATCACTCTACCTCCACCTCACTACATCTACATTGTTCTACGTTGCAGGTTCCCATCAGTTGCATACAGTGTGCATTACACGGCAAACGTTCAGCCATTTCAGCCAGCTAAGTGAATCAGAGACTAGCTAAAAACAAGCTCAACTTCCTTTACGCCACGCCTCAAACTGCTGCATAGGCTGTCGAGCTTCTTCACCACGTTCACCTCGACGACATTGCCCTCACAAACAACGGCGAAGCGGCATGGGCGCTCATATATGTCTCAGTTGACAAGCTCGGACACGCATGTTGCTTAGCAGCCTGGGGGCAGTGTGTTTGGAATGAAAAGAGTCATAACTAACAGTCAGCAAACAGAGTGACAAGTGAACCATTTCTTTTGAATAGCCTATAGCATATGGCCAATGACATCTAGGTTTGTGAAATTGCTTTCGAAACGGTTTCAGGGTAGATGAATGCCCACATAATCAGTTGAGAATCTAAGAGTGTGTAAAACGTTTGTTGCAGAACTGTCCACAGGCCACAGGGTAATTGTGGCTGTGGCTTAAATAATGCTGCATTTTCAGCACTTAGAAACACAAGCCTATGAAGTTTATTGTTTTCTTTTGTCATTCTTAGCTTCTTAGCATCCCAGTGTCCCAGTGTGTGTGTGAACCATGCAATCCAATGAACCTACAAGACACGCAATGCGCCTTCAAACATTAGGAACACTATGCAGTGCGCACTACCGCTGGGATCATGTATTCTATCCGCATTCTTGAGCTCTGGATGCCACACGTGAGTCAGGCTTCATGGCATTCATTGATAAGCAGAGAATGTCAACGAAGACACAGCTTGAAGGAGGTACCGCTCCAACTCAAGGACGCAAGCGCTGTGACCGCTGCTGTGAGTGTTTCCACAGAATCTTCAAGAACAGATTCGTTATCCATGGGTGATGTCTATCAGCACCAGCAGTCTTGGGAGTCCACTCCAACCTCACACGATACACACAGCCAGATTGTTGCTGTGGAGGATAACAACAGCCAGGGAGAAACACCTACTTATGTGAGCGCTAGGTCAACACGTGTCAGCTGGAAAGGAATGAACTCCGCTCAGGATGCATTGGAGTCATGCCACAGAAGTTTTCTTGCAAAGCGGGTTTGTGAACTGCAAGAAAGAGTTGATGCGTACCAGAAAGAACTCAAGAAAGCTCGCAGGGAAAACAAAACATTGCACGCACGGATGGAACAGGCTTTGCAGCGAGCAGGCTCTACTGGCAAATGGGACATTGTGCGAACAGACGCAGACTATTCATGTCTTGAAATGTCTACATTTAAAAACAGTGTCCGTTTGTCACGTCGCGGATTTGTCGCTCTTGGTGTGCGGAAGGCGCTTGCTTGGTCATCGTCAGTCGCCTTTCCGCTTCTCACACTGGTTGATACATCCCGCCAAACAGTGACAAGAGCGGAGAATGCTGTGTGGGCTATGATTGTATCTCGATCGGGTGCATGGCACAAGTGTGTTTACGATGCATTGAAGCAAGTTGCCAATTGGATGCAATGTAGCGCACCTCAATTCCAATGCACACCTGATCACGCTGATCACGCTGATTCATTGGCAATGGTTTCTTCTGATCTCGGGTTGCCACAGCCATCAAGCTGGTTGGTGCACCCTTGGGCTTTGTGCAGTCAACCAGATGACCAGTCAGGTCAGCAGAGTCTCTTCTCTTTGGGAGGCACAGCTTTATCAGGTGATGCCACAAATTCTGGGATCTGGCGGCGCAACAAACTACAATCACTGTTGGTGACTTCAGCTATCATGTCAGATCCAAAGCATGTCAGAAGAACTTCTGCATGGCACGATGGGTTCTCGCATCACACGACAGTGTGTCTTGCATTGAATGTTAACTATTCATAACCTTTTTGACCTTTTTGTGTCTCCTGTAATGGTGGATGATGTAGGCAGATGCACACTACTGCACCAATGCACCAACACGTAGAATAGAATCCCACACATTCTATTATGATTCTGATCATTACTGATGTTCATTTAAAAGAGGCATGGCTGAACGATGTCTTTGCAGCCTAGTAGAAATAGATAAATCAAATTCGGTCACCAAACATCACTGGACTGAACAACTGGAGGTGTGACCTGCAAATAGTAGCAGAGGGAACTGCCGCTGGCAATTTGGCCATCATATTGAAACAGCTCAAGCTGATCAAGTGCCTCAACTGGGAGGAGATTTTGGCCAACAAAAAGCGACCAGGCATAATCATGTCAGTTGTTTTTCTTTTGTTTTGTGTTGTTTTTTGTTTTGGGTGTGGATAAGTGGATAAGCTTATAACTGATAAGCTAGTGGTTGGTG